GAAGTGGTTCATAACACATTGTGTGCAGTCATTCTCCATTTTGGTGTGTCTGGCCATTATACTGAAAATTGCCACAATAAGAGAAGTTAAATTTAGGGACAAATAATGATTAGGTTCTATAATTTATCACAAATATAATTGATCTTAGCCTTGGTCTTTCTACACCAGGCCTGTCTATGTGAGAGGTATACTCTTTCACTTTAGGCTGATAATTAAGGCCAAGTTTGGAACCTAGGTGTAGATTTATCAAGTTCAAAATTTAAAATGAGTTACTGATTTAAAGGACAAGATTTATCAAGGTTATTTAAATCAAGAGTGATTCCTTGAACAACACTAATAATTCTGACTTGTTACAATGACTAGGAATCCTCGTTATCCCTGTGTTAAATGAATAAAGAGTTGAAGTGTAGGGTGATAACACAGTGTGGAGCTGGAGGAACACAGCAGACCAGGCAGCATCAGAGGAGCAGGAAAGGTGACATTTCGGGTCGGGACCCTTCTTCAAAAAAGATCCTTTTTTTTGAAGAAGGGTCCCGACCTGAAACATCAACTTTCCTGTTCCTCTGATGCTGCCTGGCCTGCTGTGTTCTTCCAGCTCCACACTGCATTATCTCTGACTCCAGCATTGGCAGTTCTTACTATCTTGAAGTGTAGGGTGATGACTGCTTTGGCTATTTTTACAGCAGTGAGCAGTAAATGCTTATTCTTACATTCTACTATAATGTCAAACATTGAGAATAAGATGGCAACAGAAAGCTTAAGAATGGGATCTCAGTGCTGAGGTCATTCAAAGCCAGCACCGATGGACTATTCACTCCTTCCAGCTGACCCCATTAATAATGACAGCAGAAAGAGAGTCATAGAGTCATAGAGTCATAGAGGTATACAGCACAGAAATAGACCTTTCAGTTCAACTCATTCATGCTGACCAGATATCCTAACTTAATCTAGTCCCATTTGCCAGCATTTGGTCCATATCCCTGTAAACCCTTCCTATTCATGTAGCTATCCAGATGCCTTTAAAATGTTGTAATTGTACCAGCCTCCACCACTTCCTCTGGCAGCTCATTCCATACACGCACCACCCTTTACGTTGCCCCATAGATTCCTTTTAAATCTTACCCTCGCACATTAAACCTATGCCCTCTAGTTTTGGGTTACAAGACAATTAAATGTTGAATTTATCAGTGATGGTTAAAAAAGGGACAGATTGAGACAAATGAAAGCTCAAACATCATTCTGTCAATAACAGAGGTTATGGGAATGGGAAGTGGTAAATTATAAAATTCTGTAAGAGGTAATCCCCGGATTTGTTCTGGTTTGATACATAATCATTAGGCTGGATTGAAAACTTAATTAAACATCTTTGACTTGGAAACTCTATAATGGGATCTGTTGCAAATGTAAGATGCTTTTCATCCTAAAACCATACCTCATGACAGTACTGTAACTATCATTATGGCCCATTAATATGGCCTGAGGCATGTGTCACAGCCATTTGAATAAGAAGTGGCTGTAGAACACAGTCTTGGCATTTCTCTCCCAGACTGTAAGAGCCTGGTCTCATGCATATCTCATCCTGCCCTTTGACCCACCATGCTGACCGTGGCTTCAGATTTTCCTTGCTGGAACCTGTTGTTACAACACCATCTGCTGTTAGTCACTAATAGTCCCCATTAACAACTATTCACCCTCCCAGCCCGATTGTTATCAACTCCTTTGTCTGTCCAACTGTTCTTCTCTCTCTTTAGGCTCTATTAAATCGTTTACTCCCTACCCTACCCTCCTCCCTATTTTCTGCATATAAACCGACGTTTTCCCAGCCACCATCAGTTCTGAGGAAGGGTCCCCTGACCCGAAACATTAACTCTGATTATTTCTTCACAGATGCTGCCAGACCTGCTGAGTTTTTCCAACAGTAGTAGTAGGAACTGCAGATGCTGGAGAATCTGAGATAACAAGGTGTAGAGCTGGATGAACACAGCAGGCCAAGCAGCATCAGAGGAGCAGAAAGGCTGACGTTTCGGACCTTGACCCTTCTTCAGAAAGGGTCCTCTACACCTTGTTGTCTGAGCTTTTCCAGCAACTTTGTTTTTGTTCCCGATTTACAGCATCTGCAGTTCTTTCGGTTTTTATTGAGCATATCAAGGAGTTCAGTAGAGGATGGACAGAGGGGTTTGCTTGATATCGCCTATACAAAGCAGCTGATTGGTGAGTATTTCTAGTTTTTAAATAAAAGCAAGGTCTTCAGTTTGTGTTCAGATCTCTAGTCTATCATAAAACCATCACAGTGTGGAATCAGGGCATTTGGCCCAACAAGTCCATACAGACCTTCTGAACAGCATCCCACCCAGAACATCCCCCTACCCTATCCCTGCATTTCCCATAGCTAACACACCTAACCTACACATCCCTGAACACTATGGACAATTTAGCATGGTCAATCCACCTATGGTGCACAAATTTGGACTGTGGGAGGAAACTGGAGCACCCAGAGGAAACCCATGCAGTCACGGGGAGAATGTGTAAACTCCACACAGACAGTTGCCCGAGGCTGGAACCAAACCTGGGTCTCTGGTGCTGTGAGGCAGCAGTGCTAACCACTGAGCCACCGTGCCTCCATTTTCTCTCTTTTACTTGCAAAGTGTTTGTTGAATATAAAATTGATACTGGTGTGTTAACAAAAGAGCGGGGATCCCTCAAGTGTAAAGAGTAGAGTGATTATTTAATAAATTAAATAAAATATAATAGTGATAGGTCAGATACTGTGTTGCAGATGCAGCAAGTGGGAGCTGCTGAAAACCAACGCTATCCAGTAAGTGTTTGTAGTTTGACTGATTTCAGAATCAAGTTGAGGAGCTGGAGTCCAAGTTGCAGACATTGCACCAAATCGAGGCTAATAACCTGGACACTTTACTCCTTGAGGCACTTACACTCATTAGACTAAATCACTCAAATTTAGTCAGTGATCAAGGACAGAAAGGTATGATTGCAGATGCAGGAGGTATAGGGACACAAGGGACAGCTTTTAATGTGCCTCCATCCCTGCAATCACCCAACTGCTACGAAGATCTTTTGAGCTATATGGACAAGAGTGGAAACTGCAGGAAGGATGAACAAATTAGACATGACATAGTGGTACAGGGATCCAATTGAGGTGAGGGAAGTAGGAATGCAGTAGCTGTAGGGGACAGTATAATTATGGGGAAAGATACTGTTCTTTCCAACTCAGTGTACGAGAGGCCTAGAGGCTATGTTGCCTGCCCAGTGCCAAGGTTGAGACCATCGCCTTGGGGCAAGGGAGGAACTTAAAGTGGAGAGGAGGGATTCAATTGTCTTTGTCCACATTGACACTAACAGCATGTGTAGGACTAGCAAAGGGGTTCTGCTGTCAGATTTTGACCAGTTAGAAGCTCAGTGAGCAAAATTTCCAAGGCAATAATCTTTGGATCACTGCCTGAACAACGGGCAAGCTGGCATAGGGTAAATAAAAGTCAAGGGGGGACATGCGTGGCTCAAAAATTGGTGTGGGTGAAATGGGTTTCAATTTTTGGGTACTGACACTAGCACTGAAATTTTATGTCTGAAAATATTATTACAATTCTTTGAGGAGGTAACAAATGGAATGGATGAAAAGGAATCAGCAGATGTAATATAAAAGTTAACTTTGGATTTCCAAAAGGCATTTGATAAGGGATTGTATACAAGGCTATTTGCATGGAGAGAAGACTATCTAACGGACAGAAGATAGAGGAGTTAGGATAGTAGGTAGGGGTGATAACCTGTAACTAGTGGAGTGACACAGGAATCAGTGCTGGGGCCACAATTATTTACAATATATATTACTGACTCAGATGACAGAAATGCAGCTGCTATCACTAATTTTGTAAATGACACAAAAACAGTTGGGAAGGCCTCACTCTTGTGAGTCTACATAGTGATAGAGTCAGGTTTTGCAAGTGCTGAAAACTTGGCAAATGGAATATGATGTGGAAAAATGTGAGGTTATGCACTTTGGTAGGATGAGAAGAGCTGAATATTGTTTAATTGGAAAGAAATTGAAGGCTGAAGGATTTGGGGGTGTTCTCATGCATGAGCCATAAATAAAATCTGACATTCAAGTACACCAGGCAATAGGGAAGGCAAATGGACTGTTAGCCTTTATTTCAAAGGGAATGGAGTACAATATAGGGAGGACTTGCTAAAACCATGTAAGATACTAGTCAGACCATAGCTGTAATACTGGTTCCCTAGCTATGGGAAGATATACTGGTATTGGAGGCAGTTCAGCGAAGGATCACTAGGTAACTCTGGGAATGGAAGGATTGTTTTACAAAGAGAAATTGAGCAGGTTGGGCTTGTATTCATTGGAGTTTAAACTAAAAACAGGTGACCTATTGAAACATAAGAGTTTTAAGGAGTTTAACACAGTAGATGTGGAGAGGCAGTTTCTACTCTTGGGAGGGTCTAGGCCCCACAGCAATGTAGCTAACCCTTAACTAGCCTCTGGGCAATTAGGGAAGGGTAAAAAGTATTGGCCTAGCCAGCAACATCCACGTCCTGTGAATGAATAAAAATTTAAAAAACCAAAGATATTGGCAATGGGGGATTCAGACATGGCGATGCCACTGAATGTCAAGAGGCAATGGTTAGCTTCTCTCTTGTTGGAGATGGTTACTACCTGTACTTGCATGGTATGAACATTAGTTGGCACTTGTCAACTCAAGCCTGGATATTATCCAAGTTTTGCTACATTTGTATATAGACTATTTCAATATTTAAGGAGTTGTGAATGGTGTTGAACACTGTGCAATCAACAGCAAACATACCCAATTTTGACTTTGTGATGGAGGAAAGGTCATTGTTGAAGCAGCTGAAGATTGGTGGCCCTTGCATTTGGAGTGAATGTATAAACTTTAGTATGTGGTATAGATGCATTTGAACCATACAATCGGTAGGAAAAAATCAAAAGACAACAAAGAATACTTAGGAATGGCTTTTAATTGACGAAAGCACTAACTTTTCTTTTAGTCTGGAAATATCAAGTAATTACGAAAATAAATTCATTGCCTATCCTGTCAAGTTGATAACTGGACAAAATAGATCAGAAATACAACTAAATTACAAATTATAAAAAAAATTGCACTATAATCTTTGATTAAAGCAAATGAACAGAGGAATAAAGAATGTTTGTATACAAAAAAAGTTATGCTCCTGATCCTAATATTTTATTGCATGGTTAATTTGAATTCTGTATATCAAGTTTCTAAACAAAGTTGATTTATACATAGTACATAATACATTCCTGATTGAATACATCATTTTATTACAATTGGCAATATCTAAGGCAGAGTCAATAGCTACAGATCCCAGCTGTATGAGTTCTAATGATCTGAATTCCAGAGTATTTAGGCATTGATGAGCAGTGTTGTGTTGCTGGCTCTTTAATTGCATTTCTGATGTTCTTTCATCATCCTTTTGCTTCCTTCTTCCTGAATAAGGAAAATCAGGGGCTACAGTGCAAGACCAACTGTTTGCATATCACCAAAGCTGATCTGTGTGCACTTGACTGTGGCAGGGATTGACAGCAAACTACAAACTGGGATAATTCTGTGCACTTTCTACCTCACCATAACAGGTGTAGCTTCAACTTCTCTATCACTGCCTCAATTCCTGCATTGACCATGCCAATTACCCTTACAGCCTCAAAGCGAAGTGAACAAATTATGTGCAGGCTTAGAAACCTGATTTCAGGTTGCAGAGATGAAACTAGTACCCCTTTACTCAAAACACTAACCTTTAATTTATTGTCAAATGTGACCAAAGAGAAACTTTATCAAATTGAGGCAGTCAATAGAAAAGACCTGAGCAGAAAAACACAATATCCCATCAGCCATGAGCATTGAAAGCCAAATAAAAATCCTCCCCAGGATGGAAAAAGCATGACCATTTAGCACAACACAGCAAATTACTGAAGATGCATGAAGTGTTTTAGTGCGAGCTAAATAAATAATGATCAAGGTTTATTGTATGACTTAAGCAGTAGTATGTGTATACTTTTCGTTATTACTTCATTCTTTGGAATACAGCTGAGTATTAATTAGTAGCATTGTGTGCTGATAAACTTGCATATGACAGAAAATAAAATCCATTATCTCTTCCCCACCAAATGGCCTGACATTTTCAAAATGGTACATTAAAAAGAAAGGCTATTGATGGAATTTAGTCTTCTGTGATTTTCTTCACAAGCCAAGTAAAATAGCTCTCTAATGATACAGAACATCATATATCAAACGTAGCCTATTTATATCCTGTGTTGGTAATACGGTACCTGTACCTGTATACCAACATTTGGGTTTTTGGTCTATATATTTAATTCTTGCAAATGATTTTCTTATAATAAAAGCCTTTTAGCACATTTAAGCAAATTTAAGTTTTTGCTAAAAGAAATGGCATTTTCTTAATGAGTATATATAACCATGCCAACTGAAGAACAGTAAAGCTTTAATATAATTAAAAAATTATAATTTAGGACATGCAATGCCAAGATGGCCCCAGTCACAGACCGGATTAGATAGGTTTGCAGATTGGACGAGGATTTGATTGCATCCACATATGGAGATTGGACAAAGAGTCAAGCAGTAATGAATGGGTAGTTAGAACTTCAGTTTGCTCAGCTTCACAATAATTTGCATAATATAGAGGAAAATAGTAATGACAGGAAAATGATCTCATCAAGGAACGTAGATAATGTTGGCGTGCAAAAGGGAAGTGGTTTAAAATGCAAAGAAGAGTATTTCAATAGAAATCGTATTTATCATTTCTTTAAAATAAAGAGTTAAGACAGACCTGCCCCTATGCACTGTTTCCATGGTTCTGACATCATTGCTAAAGAACAGTGTTATTTGGACTACAGTACCATAGGAAGAATGAATGAACTTACATTTCACATCCTGGTCAGTCCTAAAGTGTGCTGACTTTTAAACAATCTTAGAGCCGCATGCATACAGCAAGGTCTTACAGCAATGACCACCTGAGGAAATGCTATTTGCCAGAACACAGGCAAATCTCCATATATTGCTTCAGACATTTTGTGTTCAACTAAGAGGGCAAAAAGGGCCTCAGTTTAATATATCATCTGAAATGTGACATCGCTGACAGTGCAGCACTCCTCAGGTCATCTGTACTCACGCCTTGGAGTTGGATTTGAATCTGTGATCTTCGGACCAGGGGGAAAATTACTACCATAAACAATGCTCACACTACAGGAACTTCTGCCAAAATTGTAGATCTAACTCTTCTAATGGAAATGCAATCAACACCTGATGTAAGTACAGATAGGTTCATTCCTCAGTGGCGATCCTTAATCAGAACTCTTTTTGTGGAATGTTAGCTTATTTATCACTTTCAGATGCTAACCAGCTTGCTCTGTGGATTATTTTCACCTGTCACTTCAAGAATTTTCCATATTATAGAGAAATCCCACATAAACGATTGATCTCCTCTTGTAACTTCAGAGGAAAACCTTTGGTAAACAGTTATGCATGTACATTTCTGGAGGTTTCTGCCAATTGTTCAATCAGAGATTGGGGAGCTCTGCAGAAATTTGATTTGATTGGTACTCACCTGTCGTTATGTAGACAATATCGCACAATTGGCAAACAGTGCAAAAGGAAAATAATCATTGTTATTTCACTGTGAACCCGGTTAGAATTTCATAGAAAATTAATCACTTCACAGAAATCACTAAACCATTCTGCAGTATTGAGAACCTACCTCCTTCAATTTTGAATACCCCTTTATATAATATATGTAAATAAACAACTGACTGATTCCTATCTAGATCTATCTTGACTTATCCTTGGTCGATAGCAATGGAAATACAGTACTGAGAAACAGAGACCTTTCGCATAAAGCAAGCACAATGTTTGTACTGAAATAGCACTACATAAGCGTCTGCCACTCAGTGCCATTGAGCGAATGCAGCTTTCTGTGCTCCGTTTGCCTTCTCATCGAGTAGGGAGATACTGTATTAATTGATTAACTGAGACTCCCAGTTTGTGGAGGGGCAATGGGCGCAGGTACAAAAAAGAGGGGACATACTGGGTAGACTTTTAATCTCAGATGGGCAGTCCTTGGTTCCACCTAGTAGCCAGCTACAGGTGACACTGATCTTGTAGACTGGCTTACATTCATACTCACTGAGCTACTTGAGGTGCTGGTCTAGAGATGCAGAGGTGGGGGAATTAGATTAAGGGGGAGAAAAAAATGTGGCACCCTCATAAAAGACTCTCAAATAAGATTCAGATAATCTAACGACAAACCTTGTGTTGTGCTGTACAATCAAATATTAAGCTGTGATCATACAGGTTGTAATAATGCTACCACAAGGTGTTGATGAGGTCCCCCAGCACAACTTCTGATCTGATTGATCCAAGTTTGAAAGTACATGTGCATACGGGGAGAGGTGGAGGTGAGTGGGAGGTGTGAAAAGAAAAGTCGAGAGTGGTTTAAAATTTGATTCGTGGCTGACATTACATAAACCTTGTGCAAACTAGATTCAATAGTAGAAAATACTTTGCAAATGATAATTTTTTTTGTTCCTTTAGAGATACTAGACAAGGTGACTTCACTTTTTTATAAGAAACTGCAATATGGTCTGATTTTCATATGGTGACCATATCGTGTCAATCACACAGGATGAGAATTAGAGAATGAACTGTTTGAATCCATTTTCAGACAATTGTCTCAGTCTAACAAAATATTCCAAACTCAGTAAAGTTAGCAGAAATTTGACTCCAGTAAATTAATAAACAGGCACTCGAAAACCAGATTAGCACCACAAATTCTGGTACTCTAATAATGAAATAGATATTCTAAATCCGTAAACTCATTTATCATTTTTATATTGTAGAATCTTGCTCCATATCTTTCTATTATTAAAATAAGGTTTACTTTAATAAAAGCAATAAATAGAGTGCAAAAGTCCTTAACCCTAATAAGCTATAGTCTAAAGCCTGCTGTGCATGATTGTCATTTTTAAAGAAATGCAGAAACCAGCTAAGAGGTGAAAAAAAAGAGACAAAGCCAATTTTAGCGAGTACAGGTCAAAGAACGTGGCAACGAAAATTAAACACAGCATGGAGCTTAATGCAGGTCAGACAGAAGAGGTGAGACTACTGGAGGGCATTAATTTTGCACTATGAGAGTTACATCAACCTGGCCTGGTCCTTTCATTGCCTCCAGCATTAATGGTGCTAGCCTATGAATTAATGGTGTTTAAATGGCATTCTGGCTTTGGATGAGATGAAACTCAGAAAGGCGGAGGCAGTTCTAGTTCCCAGGCCATGAGAGAACATATCCTGAGCGTGTCTTGGTGAAGTCAGGCTGTGACTGGTTGATCTTGGTCTCCACGGCGATGGTACACTTCTTCCCATGCATGGAGCATTGAATGGGGTCACACACCTTCACTTGGAAGTGCCTCTTCTCACTGGAAACAGGAAAATAAATTAAAACCATTTAATCAAATTGCCTATTTCTTAAGTAAACGCTCATGATTTTTCACAAGAATGGGCAGTAACTAGCGCAGACCAAGAGAAAAGGAAAACTGGTGACTCTCATTGTTCTTTGATTGTTTTGTGAGAGTTGAAGCACATACAGGCCTTTTGAAAGCCACACTTGCAGCTTTTAGCCCTAACAGAGATTCTCTCAATGACAACGCCACACGGAAAAGTATCCATTCCCAAACCCAGTTGAGCACCTTGGCAAGTTTTCAGGATTTGTGGTTGTTATTCTACACAATACAACTTGCTGTATAGCATTAAAGTCAATAGTTTCGGCTTTGATTTTTATGGATAAGAGCAGAAAGAAATTCCCAACATTTCTAAACACACAACCATATGGCCCAGATGGTGATGCTTTAATTCCTTGTCCTTTGAAAGATTTTTTTTATTGCATAGACATCAGTACAAACATTTAATGTTACAATCAGCAGTACAAATAGATGGAAGCTGGTTTGAATCATTGCTGCCTTGCTAAACACAGCTAGATAGTCCCTCAGGGATTAATTAATTAGACAAATCTAGAATTGGAAAGCTTGAAATCCTGTTGTAAAATAGTGTCTGACAATGGCACTTTTGGTTACCTCAGGGCAAAAGACAGAATGACTTCCAACATAGACTTGAAGCAATATTGAGACAGTGTTGCCTAAGCATATCTGACACTTGCAGGCCATTTTCACAATTATTTAGCTTTAACATCATTTAATATTTACATAGGAGGCAGTCAGGGTATGCAAACAAAATATGAACTGAAGTTGTATGTCTGTCTCTAAGCAGGCCTTGTAGTTTCACAAACTGAGATCTGGTGTTTAAAACCGGAAGAACATGTCACAAATATAGAATGACAACTAATAGCACTGAATATTCATCGGAATCTTTTTTTATGATCTTGTCTAGAATGATTACCTACTGTAAGTACTGAACTGAACTGTTATACAATGCTCAAGATTTAAGCATTTTGTATTTGCCTTACTTTGTGGTTCTGAGTGCTAAATTTGAAGCTCACCCACTCTAGTTAATTGCTCTGTCTCCCTCAAACACCAATAATGTCCATCACCAAGGAGGTGAAAAGACGCAGCACGCCCAAATCAACACGAGTGCAAGTTCAGCAAGACTCCTCTTTCTCTTTGTCTCAAAAGCAAAATTACATCAACCCTTAAACATGCACTATTAATTTTTCATGCATTTTTTTTGCATTTTTTACCATTTTGCCGGGTTGGACTTGTTTTTTTCCTTCACTTCATGTTGCATTTAGATTCCTGCTATGTAGCCATTCAGTCCTCATTTGGATAAAACCTTTCTTTCTGTTCTATACCATCACAACACTGGTGCTGTGTGTTGCAAATCAGGCTCCAGCATTCCGAGTCACCACAAATGTTAGAAGTCAATGAAACTACTGAAAATTCCAATGTGCCACTGACTGAATGCTGCCAGGATAAAAACTAACAATACCAGGTCTTTTCAGTAACAGGAGAAAAATCTCTATTGCAACACAGCTCAATTAGGACAGTCAAAATTATATTCTTTATTTTAAACTGTAACCCTTTAAAAAAATTACACACACACACACACACACACACTCATTCACTAAGAAAAAACAGACACATGATGAGTGGAAGGAGAAAAAAAACATGAGTGGTTCTATGTCATCAGTACAAAAGATAAAACTAGGGGAGTTAGTGTTACAATTCATCTGATTGTTTGATGATGCCTTGATGTTATCTGCACAGCAACGATCAGTCTGTAATTCACTGGTTGCGTTTTTGGACCTTTCTGTTGTCTCAGGGTTTCAGAATTACTTCTTTCAGTACCCCTGAATATAGTTTCTCAGCTCTATTTAAATAAAATTGGGGACAGAGCAATTTTAAAGACAGAGTTGATGCAGCTAACGTCTGAATGTTTCCTTGCTTCTCTCTGTTTCACACACATCACAGGTCTATGCTGTACTTCAACCTAACCAATTAGAGAGCTGTTGTTATGCTAAGATCTCCCAAACCCAAAACAAATAGTGTTAATGTCGCCAGAAAGCAATAATGTCTTATATGCATTTATTTTTATTCATTCGTAGGACGTGAACCAGTCCCTGGAACCCTTGAGATGATGATGGTGAGCGGCCTCCTGAACCACTGCAGTACATAGGTTGACCTACAACGCTGTTAGGGAGGAAATTCCAGGATTTTGACTCAGTGACACTGGTTTGTCCACTGAAGGACTGGTGATATATTTCCAAGTCAAGATGATGCATGGATTGGAGGGGAACTTGCAGGTGGTGGTGTTACCATGTATCTGCTGCCCTTCATCATCATCATTATAGAAGCCCTTGTCCTTCTAGTGGAAGTGGTAATGGGTTTGGAAGATGCTGTCTGAGGATCTTTGGTGAGTTTCTGCAGTGTATCTTGTAGATAATACACACACTGCTGCTATTGAGCATCAGTCGTGGAGGGAATGGATGCTCATAGATGTAGTGCCAATCAAGCAAGTTGTTTTGTCCTGGATATTGTCAAGCTTCTTGAGTATTGCTCAAGCTGCATTCACCCAGAGAAGTGGGGAGTATTCCATCACACTCCTGACTTGTGCTTTGTAGACGATAGACAGGCTTGGGGAGTCAAGAGGTGAGTTATACACCATAGTATTCCTAGCCTCTGACCTGCACTTGCAGCCACTCTTTATGTGGTGATTTCAGTTGAGTTTCTCCCAAGATGTTGACAGTGAGGGATTCAGTGATGGTAACACCATTTGAAGACAGCATGGTGGCTCAGTGGTTTAGCACTGCTGTCTCACAGCGCCGGGAACCCAGGTTCAGTTCTAGGCTTGGGCAACTGTTTGTGTGGAGTTTGTACGTTTTCCCAGTCCAAACGTGTGCAAGTTAGGTGGACTGGCAATACTATAGCGTCCAGGGATGTGCAGGCAAGGTGGATTAGCCATGTGACATGCAGGGTTACAGGGATTGGGTAGGGGGGTGGGCCTGGGAGGATGCTCTTCAGAGAGTCAGTGTGGATTTGATGGGCTGAATGGCTCACTTCCACACTGCAGGGATTGTATGATCCTATGAATATCAAGGGATAAATAGATTATCTTTTATTGGAGATGGTCAGTGCTGGCTTTCTGTGGAAAGAATGTTACTTGTCACTGGTCAGCCCAAGCCTAGATACTGTCCAGATCTTATTGCATTTGAACATGGATTGCTTCAGCGTCTGAGTCATCACAAACAGTGTTGAACATTGTGCCATCATCGGCAAAAATCCGCACTTCTGACCTTTTGATAGATGAAACATCATTGATGAAGCAGCTGAAGATGGCTGGGTCTGGGACACTACCCTGAAAAACTTCCGCAGAGATGTCCTGAAGACGAAATGATTGATTTCCAACAACCAAAATCATCTTCCTATGTGTCAGGTATGACCCCAGCACAGAGTTTGCTCCCTGATACCCATTGTTTCCAGTTTTGCTAGAGCTCCTTGATACCACACTCTGTCAAATGTGGCCTTGATGTCAAGGGCTGTCACTCTCACCTCAGCTCTGGAAATCATCTCTTTTGTCCAAATTTGAACCAAGGCTGTAATGAGGTGAGTGGCCCTGGCGAAACCCAAACTGGGGGTCACTGAGCAGGTGCTGCTTGACAGCACTGTTGATGACACCTTCCATCACTTTACTGATGATCGAGGGTAGATTGATGGGATGGGAATTGACTGGGTTGGATTTGTCCTGCTTTATGTATACAGGACATATTTGGGCAATTTTCCACACTGTTCAGTATATGCCAGTCTTGAACCTGTAATGGAACAGCTTGGTGAAGGAATGGCAAGTTCTGGAGGACAAGTCTTCTGTACTATTGCTGAAATATTGTCAGGGCCCATAGCCTTTGCAGTATCCAGTGCCTCCAGTCATTTCTGAAGTGAATCAAATTGGCTCAAGACTAGTATCTGTGATGCTGAAGACCACTGGAGAAGGCCATGACATACCATCCACTCAGCACTTCTGGCTGATGATTGCTGCGAATGATTCAGCCTTTTGCAATGATATGTTGGGCTCTTCTATCATTAAGGATGGGGATATTTGTGGAGCATCCTTGTCCAGTGAGTTGTTCACCGCCATTCATGACTGGATGTGGCAGGACTGCAGAGCTTAGACCTGATCCGTGATTGTGTGCTTGCTTTGCTCTGTCTATTGCTTGTTGCTTATGTTGTTTGGCATGCAAGTAATCCTGCTTGTAGCTTCACCAGATCAACACCTAATTTTTAGGTATGCTTGGTGGTGCTCCTGGCATGTCCTCCTGCCGTTTCCATTGAACCAGGGTTGATCTCCTGGCTATATGGTAATGGCTGAGTGGGGGATATGCTGAGGTTACAGATTGTGCTGGAGTACAATTCTGCTGCTGTTGATGGTCCACAGGGCCTCATGGATGCCCAGTCATGAGTTGCTAGATTTGTTTGGAGCCTGTCCTGTTTAGCCTGGTCATAGTGCTACACAACACAATGGAGGGTATTCTCAATGTGAAAGAGAGACTTCATCTTCACAAGGACTGTGCGGTGGTCAATCTCATCGATACTATCATGGACAGATGCGTCTGCAGCCAGCAGGTTGGTAAAGAAAAGGACAAGAATGTTTTTCCCTCCTGTTGGGGCGGCATGGTGGCTCTGTGGTTAGCACTGCTGCCTCACAGCACCAGGGACACGGGTTCGATTCCACCCTCAGGCGACTGTCTGTGTGGAGTTTGCACATTCTCCCCGTGTCTGCATGGGTTTCCTCCGGGTGCTCCGGTTTCCTCCCACAGTCCAAAGATGTGCAGGCTAGCTGGATTGGCCATGCTAAATTGCCCATAATGTTCAGGGGATGTGTCGATTAAGTGGGTTATAGGGGGCTGGGTCTGGGTGGGATGCTCCAAGGGTCGGTGTGGACTTGTTGGGCCGAAGGGCCAGTTTCCACACTG